TAGTACGATATTCAGGTTGAAGCAGTCCACGAGACGTTCTGTCTCGTTTCAGGTGAAACCGAGCTGAATTTCGTCCACCATATAATGAACATGATGAGCCAGAACTCGTTCTCGAGTTAACACAAAGTCTGGCTAGTCATGGTACTTTTGCACGACTGTGTCTGTCTTTGTATGCGTGTGAACTAAATCGTAATGTCCCCCGGTGTACCGTTTATGACAGGTGCTTTTGCTGCTTCCTTTACAATCACACAAGCTTACATCCCAACGAGAGTTACTCACAGACTTAGACATTCTCGGACATTCTATTACTTGTTTCATTGAGCCTTGAACCGGAGTTAGGCTTTTTCTACTCTAGGTCCTGGCCGATATTACATAGACGTTTATAAACACATTTACACGTACAGAAACGCACAAATACATGCATGAAAACGCATATACACAGCTACATAAGCACCCACAAACATAGACAAGCTCACCTACAAACAAATAGACAGATATACTCAAGTAAAGGAATCATGGGCAACATAGGGAAATAAGAAAATTTTTCAACATGTATATTTTTGATTTATAATTATAATTATATATTGCATGTAGAATAGAGCCGGGAAGTCGTTTTGGCCTAGCGATATATTAAGGCGTTTGCAAGAATAATTTCTCTAATGAATTCCGCCATATGAGGAACATGAATTCGGCCCGGCTTCACCTGAAATCAGGCAGAGTGTATCGTCGACTGGAACGTAACGAGGATCGACCTACGGATTCCGAATTGGCCAACCAACGAATTTTCACATGATCCATTTTAGCACTAAGTGAAAGCCCCAAAAATATATTTGAACCATTTTTCGTTCATTAGTGATTACCAGTCAGTCAGATAAATTAGATGAATTCACCCTATTTCATTTGAGGTGATGAAGGATTGGTAGTAGAATTTTGCAACAATGACATGATTAGAACTGACGTTTCCATTGAATTTCACAGAACCTTGCTTTCCAAAAAGTTGTTCTTATCCAGGGTGGGCTGCAGTTTCGACCTAACTTAGGTCATACCAACACCATCAGCGGGACTCGGATCATGACAGTGCAGCATGTAACCTCGACACATTAGCCACGATGCCACATTGTCAAGAGTGCCCTTGTGACAGAGGTGAATTTCAAGGAAGGTCAGACGATCTCCCATATCGCATTATTTAGTGAGATCATCGATAAGCAAAGTAATATTTGCTATTACAACAAACTACATTAATTATTTTTTCTTTATAAGTACGATTTAGAGGCATCTCCTATACTTGATTTACTGGTGGTCCCGAAGCCCTACTTATAAACGAAAAATAAGCAATGTGGTCGAGTGTAAATATAACTTTTCTTCATAGACAATTCCACCAAAGAATATATTAAAAATTGCTGGAAATTAGCACTGTCTTCTGATCCAAGGCCACTTGTGGCAATGTGGCGTAGTAGTTAACGTGTCGAGACTACACGCTGGATTGTCACGGTTCGACTCCCGCTCAGTGTTGATAAGGCCTATGAGGGTAAGTGCATCTCACATATATTGAACTATATAATTAAAGACGTTTGCCAACTAGGAACTTTTCAACTACTTAAAGTAGTACAGCACCTAAAAGTTGTTATTTCCTATTGCCAAATCAAGTAGTACCCCAAATTGCATTTTGACTTACATTAACATAATAGTTTTTACGAGTTACTGGGAGTATCGAAAGCCTACTCAAAACGTGACAATGGTTTTTATTCCCAGGATTTTGATGCTGATTAGTAAAGTTGCTTTCAAAAACTCTCCTTCAGTTGCACGAATGTTGTATACCAAACTGATTTCCTTGGAAAATATGCAGTTTATGCAGAGTAATTGAACAAGGAAATTTAGCCTTAATTTGTACTTTAACGATGGAGGGTAAAAGTGTACGTACGCCTAGGTGTTACCAGATCCCAATCTTTAATTGACATAACAACCGTCTCAGATAACGTACAGGCAAATAGGATGAATTAGAACCACTAAGTCGCGTAAGACGATGAAAGAGTGATAGTGAATTTTTACACATTGAGACGAACAGGCTTTATTATGCCATTGGATTTCACTCTGCTTCATCTTCAAAAGTTACTCTCATCAAGACACAGCCTTCCACACTTTCGATCTCGGCTGGGTCTCATCAACATCCCGTCGGAGTAAATGTCGTTCGTATTAGGATTTCCCACCTATTTGAGCTATATGAATTATTCATAGCAAATATAGTTAGGCTAAAAATCGCGTACAGATGGCACTAGCGGCCACCTAGTTTAAATATGGATATTTAGACTAACCGATGAATTAAGGACAACCTATAGCACATTAGTGACTGCGATATGAAATGAAAATGTGACCCCTCAAGGCCAACCTAAGAATGGGTCTCAAGACCGAAGCATGCACAATTTTGAGGCAACTTATGGACTAAGTCAATTCTATAAAACAAACCAGGTTAAAATTCACTAATCCCAAAGGGGCAAGCCATCACCTGCTCATCAAGAATAAGCTGACGAAGGAATACAAATAAGCACAACTATGCACGTAGAGATACAGGGCCGGCTCTGTATCAATTCTAGATCTTGAGCTACTAGAGCATTCCTTACATACCGTTAATCTTCGTGACGAGCAAAGCACAGTCCAGTCGGATCTGGCTGCTTTAATTTATACCATTACATTTGGAGACTGCTTTATCTGCTCGGCAGTATACCCACAAGATGGGTAGACCCAATAGGTTTTAATTTGCCCTACCCCAACACCCAGCTACTCTGTTTTTTGGAAAATCTCAGAGTAACTGGAAGCCCCCTACTCATTTTTATTGAGACCAACCTATAAGCCAATTTCATATGAAATAAAGATTCATGTACGAACGTAATTTGTTAAACTTGGTATTTCAAAGATGAGAAGTTACTTTTACGTCCTTATCTATAAATGTATAGATGGATAGATATGAAGACCAAGATGGTGTGCCCCCGGTATGGTCAGTCCCCTTTTCGATTTATAGAAGTGGGTTGACTACGTCTTCTCAACCTGGTCTTTTGTCACAGCGACTTAGTATATCACACCTTGTCCAAAGAACCATAGTTGTCATAATTCCCAGCATCAGAAAGTGGACTTGGTACATTCCCAGACGTTTCGCCGGCATTGTAGTCGGCATCATCAGTGAATTTTGCCATTCTCCACACCAAGCTACGAACTCGTTAGAGAAAAGTTAAGTCAATCTCTCGACCAAAGTTCTGCCGAAAACGGTTACACTATCACTACACTTTCTGTTCTGGCCCATCTCATGGTCCAGGTGCTCCTATGGTACCTGGATGATTACTTCGTACTTTGGTCACACGGAAGAGAAAAACTGGAAGAGTTTCGGAATTTTATAAACCAGATTGACGAAAAAATTAAATTTACGGTGGAAGGAGATGAATGTGAGCAGTTATCTTTCCTGTTTGTTGAAGTTATTCGCTCTAATGGGACGCTCAAGAAGAAACTGTTGAGAGAAGTCATGTACAAGGATAATACCCTATTTCTAGTCACAATTACAGGCTAAATATATGAATAATGGGCACGATCATCCGAAGCCTACGTTTAACGGATATGGAAAGCTAGGATGAAGAATTGGACAAATTGACTAGGATATACCTCAGCAACGGCTACCTAAACAGTGTTACAAAGAAACATTCGAGCCGTGAAAAGCCGATGGCAGAACGAGGACTACGAAAGAATAGTAAGGATGGAGGAATCACAAAAGTCGATATGTCTACCTTCTTGCGAGCTAACTCAAAAACTATGGCCAATATTGAGGAAATGGAATATTCGGGTGGCCATGAAGCAAGCAAAGTTCTTCACAAGTCTACCGACGCAACATGAGTGTAGACAAATTTGATTGTTCAAGAGTTTACTGTATACCATGCGGCAAATGTAAACAGAAATATATTTTTGAAACAGAGAAAAAATCAGGCTCTGCAGAAAAATGGATACCGAAAGATCAGAATTGGCGGAATACATTGCACAGACTGGACATGAGATCAATTGGAAGGCAACAGAAAGAAGAGCCTCATACAGTGAGAACACAAGGAAGCGGAAGATTAAGGCCATTGAAATCCTTGCGGAAAAAAAATTGATGAAAAGGAAATTGGAGGACAATAGAGTTACTGCTTAAGCAAACTCGGGAAAACAAGAATACAGTAAGATTAGGAAAAAAGAAGCCACCTGAAGCGAAGATCTATCGCTAACGGGAGAAAAAGGGATCCCAAGAAAAAATTGTGAGTGCGGGGATTTTCGGGAATTAAGCGAAGACATTATCAGTGCCTGATGTCTGCTCGAAGAAACCAATACAACTTTGGTCCGGCAGTAAAGGAACTAGGCAAACGGATAAGCCCAAAATGTACTAGAAATCAACTTGAAATATTACATACGACCAGAGATGGACGTCCACAGCTTGCTCAAATAACATGGGTTTAATCAAGAAGACAACCCGTCAAGGCAATGCCTAATATCTGCAAGCACGGGAATCAAAATCAAGGAGCTTTGCTTAATGAGGCGTCAATGTATGCGCTTCTAAGGCTTTGAAAATAGCGCCTGGAGTAAAACGCATACTGGGACTGGAGCCGAGTGAAATCGGTAAATCAGAAAGATAAGGAATGGAGCTACGGGACCATGATTGGAGGCCCGAGACGGATTTGCCGATCGAAAGAGAGGGGGTCTGGGTAAATAGCAGGTGTGATAAGGCCACACTAAATTTGCCAAAAAAGGGCACACATTTTGACTAGTGAAATGTAAAAAAGTCAGAAGTTAAATAGAAGGATAGAGTTGATAGATGGGCCAGGACAGAAAGAAAACTGGCAGTGTAACGATGCCGGTGAAACGTCTGAGAATGTACTAAGTCCACGGTCTGATGCTGGGAATTATGATAACTACTATGGCAGAGGACTTCGGACAAGGTGCGTTCTATTAAGTCACCTTGAGAACAAGACCAAGTTGTGACAAGGAGATCAACCCACCTATATAGATGGATAGATATCAAAAAAATAGTGTAATTCTTGTTTCCATCATTACAGAAATATTAACCGTTCATTTAAGTTGCCCCAAGAATATAAGTTTTAAATACAAACTTCAGATCAGAACAAGACGTTAAGCGCTTGAAGACAAATAAATAAAACGAAAGTAAAAAAATGAATATTCAAACACACTTCTTTTCCACACAAGTTTTCCCCATTTCTTGATACTCGTGTTTGGAAATCCACATTTGCTGAAACGTGCCCTATAGTAAAAAGAAGCAGATGAATATGGCAAAAAATATGAAATCTAGTCGCCTGATAAAACTAACCAGTGATCCGAGAATAGATCCACCAATCCAACTTGAATAGCGTCTTTCAGGAACAGTACTGGAGAAGTTTACTTTCAGTCGAATACTCTGAAAAGGAAAAGATAAAGATGATTCGATGTAAGGGGAGTAAATGTGTTTTGAAAAATCGCTTAAGATAACATTGTTGTTGAAACTTTAATTATATGTGAAAGCACCTGATAAATGGATTGATCGGTCGATCTAAATAAAAGACGGTTGATTCTAGTTAATCTGCAGTTAATTCATTTTATTATGGCATTCAGGAGACAAAGTTCAAGAGACATTTTCCTACGACGCGTGTAAAAACTGGCAGGGTCTTCGTCAGCAATATGGTACACATCGTCAGAACAAAAATTAATTATTGCAAAGGCCTTAAACTAAAGCCTGAAACGAGGAAGTTTCAGGGATCGCGTAGTTTAATCAAAAGATTGCAAAACGGGAATTAAGTTTAGTCTTCTAATGAAATCGGCCTATGAACCTATTCATCAAGTACTTCCACACGAAATAAAAGTCCCTAAGGTGATTTTAGTATTTTTTGCAATAATAAAATCATTAAAATTCGTTGTGAGTAGGCTTCGTGATAAAATTTAGATAGCTTTTATATGTGCATGGTACAAATAGTGTTAGTTTAACCCCAGCTTCGCAACTTAGTCGGGGCGCCAGAGAGACCCTGCGAAACGTACCTAATCTTCAGCATCGGACCATTGACTTGGTGCATTCCCAAACGTCTCGCCGGCATCGTCAGTGAGGTGTAATCGCCGGCTCAAAGTTACAACTTATCAATGACAAGTGAGAACAATCCCCTTGACCAATTTCCTGTTTAACCATTCTAGCATTACTCCTTATCACTATTTTTGTCCTACCTTCTAGAGCTGCATCTCTTACTCTCAACCCCACTTTATATAGCTCGTTCACCTATTCACACAATTTTGTGCTCTCGTCTCTTCCAATGTCGCTACAAGTGGGTTTAGTGAAGCGTTGTCATCTTCACCACCGGTACCAGGTGCCGTTTGCAGGAGATTCATTAAGGACATCAAACAAAAACACCCAACCATAAATCTTGAAATCAACTTATGCGACCTAGTGACCAAACTTCTACATAAAAATAACTCGTCGTTTAACATCTAAAAAAACGTCCGGTTTAATTTGTTGGCACGAAAGCTTTACTTTAAAATTCAAAACTTACTGGAGGAGTTTTTAGGTTTAGGTCTCGCTGTAAGCGTTCTGTGAATCCCATGATCAAGCTAGTTCCCCCAACAACAACAACGTTGCCGTAGAGACTCTATAACAGGGTTAAAAAGGTTGATCATACCGGACGTATATCTATGTCACAAAGACTGAAGCTGCTGGCCACAATATGGCTCATAGAGAACATTGAATTTCCCTTTGATTCCTAAAAATAGAAAAATTAATTAAGGAATACTTGCAGGTATGCAAACCTATAATTCTTAATTAACTAAAAATACATTCTGAAATGAAGTCTTTTTTGAAATATGTAATAACTTGATTCCTGAGTGTTTATAAGAATATAAACCATAATGACTTGGATCAAAAATGCTTCTAAGAACTCTAGAAAATTATGCAGTGGTTGCTAATTATATGTGCTATCAATGTATACCTGGAGATATGAAACCCGAAATTTAGGCTTAATAGGTAAAGTTCTTGAGGGTAGTTGGTCGATAGAACTTAACCTTTCATGCAGATTGCAATATTTATTTAATAACAGAATAGCCTGCAAAAGTTATTGGTGACTAGAATAAAATAATATAATCGGCAAAAAAGAATTGTGCGTAGAATAAGTTTTACAGGCGATCCTGTTAGTAAATGGCTGTGTAGCCCCAAGTATGCAAAAATATCACAGCGAATCCTCAGATGTGGTCCTTCGAAGTCCTTTCATAATAAAGCACCATAAGACGAAAATTATAATCTACTATGATCATTTAAAAACGGATTAAGTACAAAATAGTATGGTTACATTTATGAAAGGTCAAAATATTAATTAAAAAGCGTTCCATAAGAGGAAAGTTAATCCGACTAGCCAGGACAAATGAGCGATGCTACAGACAAAAATTGCGCACTAATAAATATGAATACTTACTGGAAGGATGGAAGGATCAAAAAGTGATTCAGGAAGGTGAAATCTTTCATGACCTAGCTCAATGTTGAATCCATTTGGGAATTCATAAGAAATCATAGGAAAGGTATCGGCCTGACTAGAAAACAAGAAACGACAATTAAATCTAAGGCAATTATATCAAAAATGAGAAAGATGAGAGATCATAAATCAACATAATAAACCTGAAATCAATGCGTTTTATAAAAGTCTGTAGAATCATTAAATTAAATAATGAAGAATAATTTAGATACAGTATATTCACAGTCATATGTTCATAGCGGTTTTGCATTTTACAGAAAAAGCCCGGTATAAAATTATTGTCCATGACAAGGTAAATGTAATTCATGAGGACAAATAAGCCAAATGCATAGCTTTCTATAGGCATCTAAAATAGGGATTAACCTCTGATCATATTTGTCGTCGGATACTTGGAGAACTGATGCCACAAAGTCTTGGAGGAGAAGCTAAAAAATAAAACATGGGACAGAATCAAAACCGCAACCTAACGAAGAAGAAAAATAAAAAAACAAACCTTGGTCATATAATAATCATAAGATTCGGTGACTTTGGGCAGATTCTTTTTTTCCTTCCACCGGGCGGGCTCGCGATCTTTAACAACCTCCTGAATCAAGGAAAAAAGGGTGTCATGATTACAAGACCAAACAGAAAAACAAGATAGCATTATATGCAATAGGAAATAATAAATTTTAAATTGATGCTTAGAGCATTAAATCATTAAAATATTCAAAAATTGGTTATGAATGACAAGGGAACCTCAAAGAAACTGGAGGTAAAACTGTGGATCGTAATGGTAGATATGGTAATCAGAAGACTTGCCTTGCTTTCAACTCTGTAATAAGGGACCAAGTCAACTTTGAACTCATCTACAAGTAACCTCTGGGCTTGACGAACTATGAAGTCTCCAGCCAGTGGAGACCTAACGATGCATTGAGAAAGAACCAATCCGTCATAAACTGGAATGGCAGAAGTGTACGTAGATCCGCAATCAAGTACCAAGCCAGTATGCCTACCGTTAGCAAAACAGGTTAGAGCAGCATTTTTGGCGACATAAAAAGCAGGTATCTAAGACAGAAGTTAATAGAAAGACAAAGAAACCTTGAATTTCTCAAAAAGTATTTCCGTAACCTTCTCTCTCTTAGCCTTGGTATTCCATGCAGGCTCAGAAAAAAGAATAGGATGTTCTGTGATTTCAGTAGGAGTAAGGAATTTAACCATATAATCAACAACATTTTCAAAATGATCAAAATCCTCAACTGATGAAAAAGTCAGTAATAAGGAATGTCAACGTACTAAGACCATCTTTCATAAAGTTAGATAACTCCATTTTTTCGTTTGCTACCATAATATTGTGTCCTGCCATGACACGCTTGGGCTTCTTCTCCTGTTCTGGAATTATGCCGATTACACTAGGAATATCAATCTTTAAATATAAAAGCTAAAGTAAATTACCTTCGGACTGTCCTCTCCAGCAAACCCACCTCTCAGTGAATGTGAACCAAAATCGAAAACCAGGGCCCCAACCTCATCTAAGAAGAAAGATTTAAAAGTTAGATAACAGCTTACCGCTCATTGTGGGAGAACCGCGATGCGCGCCCAATTGAAATTACCTATAGCAAGAAAATAAAACAAAATTTATTATGATATTATAATTATAAATTTATACATTAACAGATTTAAGATTTAAATTTATTATTTTTATTATTTTTTATTTATTATGTTTAAAGAGTTAAAATCATTTGCTTAGCTTAGTTTTCGAAATTTTGCTATTTTTCGACATTCTTTTTAAGATTACAAACTTTAATGATGCTCCTTTTTTCAAATGGGTCGGCCTAACAATTTAGCTAATGGAGGGTCATTTTACTTTGATTACTTCAGCATTTAATTACTATTCTCTAAGTATTTAAAGTATGTGATTGGTAAACCATTAAATATTTTTGCCTTCATCTAACCAAATCAACGCATCTTAGAGCTATTTGGAAATTTTGTATACAAACGGCTGGTAAGCTAGTGAATCGACGTAGTACATAGCTTATTTTGGTTTTGGATTACTAATGGAGGAACTGCCTAAATTAGTCAATGGAGCTGTGCTCCCAACATTAGAGATCTTTTAGTACCTTCAGCTCAACACTATTTCTGTTACCATTTTAGTTGCATTGAATGTAAATAAAATTTATGTGACTAAAATTAACTAGCATACTTAAGGTTATCTACCCAAATTTTAGTATACAATATTCCAAATAAATAGTAACCGATTCAGCCTACAATTCCTACCCCTTTTAAGAGATGACTAACAAGCATTTGAAAGCATTATTTACGTAATACGAAATTCCCCCGACTCGGGCCTTTTATATGGATCTCCATCATTATACCATAGATCCATTCCTTATCTTTCTGGCTGACCGAAATCACTCTGTTCCAGACACCGTGTGCGTTTTACTGCAGACAATATTTATCAAGGCTCAGAAAGATAAGAAATGGATCTATGGTACCGTGATGGAAATCCGGAGAGAATCCTTGAGTCTGATTAACTGATTAAAAGAGAGCGGTCAAGGTGAATTGCAGGTGTGGTGAGGCCACACCACATTTGCCACAAAGGGGCACACATTTTGACGAGTGAAATGTAAACAAGTGAGAAGTTGTGATAGAGCGTGAATTGGGTAAGAGGGTAAAGAGTAGATAGATAGGCCATGACAGAAAGAGGAGTGATAGTGCTGGTCGTGCATACTTTCTTATGATTGAATTTATTGTGCATACGTCAATTTCCCCATTCCTATGCATATCTTTCAGCATGCCACTTAAGATTCCATTGATATTCAAATTCCTTCAAGTGGAGAAAGGAGTAGCTACAGTAATAATGGACAAAAAATAATATACCGAGAAGATGGAACATATTCTACGAGACAGGACCACATATAGTATATTAAACAAGGACCCAACTATAAAGAACAATAGAATCTTATGTCTCATGCTAAAAGATATGCGTAGGAATTAGGAAATTGACGCATACACAATAAATTCATCTATAAGAAAGGATGCACGACCATCAACAGCATACGGATTACCAAGGATACACAAATAAGGCGAACCATTAAGGCTGATAGTCAACAACGTGTATGGAGCAACACAGAAATTGGAAAAGTTTATACGTATAAAACTCAAGAAAGTAATTGATAGGCTATTAAACACGGTGAAACATTTATATAAATTTTCTCAAATAATAAAAAAAACAGGGCACTGGAAGAAAGGGACTTATTGGTAAATTTCAATGGGGAATCTATGAATACAAATATCTCTGGAGAAAATACGCTAACGACCCTATTGGAAATTCTGGACCGAGAGGGGAATATCCTGGAACAACAATGGATTGGTAGGGAGTCCTTAACAAAAGTAATCAACTTGACAATAAGGACAACCTATTTTACATTCAACGGGAACATCTATGAACAAATATTTGGACTTACCATGGAATCGCCATTCTCACCACTTTTGGCCAACGTATGCATGAACAAAATAGAAGAGAGCTTCAAGATGGCACCGCTACATTCGGTAGTGCTTATGCGGTACCTGGATG